ATCTACAGAGAAGGATAGCTCATATATAGTTAAAATGCCTTCAAAGGAAAAGTTAATATTTTAAAGTAATTTTATATTAACGTAACTTGCATTATATAATATCCAAATATTTGAGGAAAGGTAAGTGTTTTTTTTTTTTTAAAGAAGCCGCCCAATTCTGGTCATCCAGTATGGGAGCATGGGTTGGTGTTTGCTGTGGGCTTAAGCTGCATGCATGTAATGTCTGGCTTTACATGTTTCTCACATTTGCTTTTTTGCAGCCCTGACAAGGATGTAGCATCCCTCTGCAGAAGCATGTATGCATACATTGGTTAAAGAAAGTTTCCTCAGGTTACTATCAATTAGAAAAGACATGAAACCAAGAACCATTATACGCATGATGGTTGAGAAATATGCTTAAGGGTCACAGGTATCTGAATCATTTCATCATCTTCCTTGTTTCTCTACAACTCAACAAGGAAATGTTGTCATATTAGAATTGAATAAGGGTTCTGTCAATCCTTTGGACAAAGAAAGGTCAGTGTGTACACCTAGTTATGGTACAGCATAGACTCTTAAGTATACACCCTCATTTGTCACTTTACATAGCAAAGACAGTTTCCATCATAATGCATTATAGATTTTTATTGATACACATTTTTTTCTTTTGTTGAAAGATATTTTTTTCATACAACATATTCTGATTATGGTTTCCCCTCCCTCTGTTACTCCTAGTTCTGGATGGTGATATCTTCTCTTGTCTTTGTTGGGTAGGTGTTCCATTCCTTAGTTTCTATTCTTAGAAATTTCAGTTCCCTGTCTGATTCTTAGAAGAGTGCTGTGGCTGTGGGCTGTCTGGTAGAGAATTCTTCTGAGATCCTGCCAGGTGTGAATCCCCACTGGGGATTCCTGTTGGAATGTGTTTCTTGGTATTGAAGCTGACAGGGATGGAGATGGGAAAGAAGTGGGAAGGGCTGAGGTGGTCTACAGGAGAAAGGAAAGCAGGATGTGCCACCAGGATCTGCTTAGTCCCCCTGGGACAGAGAGGAAGGAGAGGCCACGGCAGATGGTAGACACAGAGTGGGAAAACTGGGAGGTTACATTTGGAGGAGAGTAGGGAGAGTGTGGACATCATCTACCTGTTTCCATGTGTCAGGTTCACAGAGAACGCCTGTGGGAACTGGCAGTTGAGATAAAAGGATAGGGTGGTAAGAAGGCTCCAAGGGAAGCTATGCATGACCCAGTGGCAAGCAGAATGGGCACAGGAAAGGGGAAGGCCACAGTATGTCATCTGGCAGAAAGCTAGGGATGAAACTTGGAGATCTGATTCTATTATGAGTACTAAAATGTTCAGATCTACACCTGTCAGTGTAAGGAATTTTAAGGACCATATTGGGAAGTAGGATGCCTGGGCCATCATGACTGTGTAGTTACCTCCACAAGCACTCCAGCAAGATCCCACCACATGCCTAAGGCAGTGGCTTACTCATATTGTCATATTCTACTCCTATCACAAAAACGTCCCTTAAGATGCATTGGCTCTGGGCCTCCTGGGCTTTGCTAACCTGTACTTCAGCTATCCGACCACAACAGTGGCTCCAGAGTAAGGTGCCACCTGCACACTTTCAGGTACACAGTGAGAAATAGTCATGGTGTTCATGGTGGATGATTACATCCTGTGGTCAGCCAGTGCTCCATGCACCTTCTAATGCTTAGGACTTCTTCCTATACTTTTCTTCCTTCTCTAAAGGCCTCTTCTTGTCCTCCTCTAGACCTTCTCCACTTCTCCCTCTGATTCTTCATTCTTGTCTCTTACCCTATAGCAGTTCCTGGGCTAGTAAGAAAAGGAGTTAACCTGTCAATCTCCCCTCCTCAGACACTTTGACACATTATTTCCCTCTGAACCTTCTCTCAGCTCTCTCTCTCTCTCTCTCTCTCTCTCTCTCTCTCTCTCTCTCTCTCTCTCTCTCTCTCTCTCTCATACAATCACAGCATCATATGGATATTTTGTGCATACATCCATCAATTGTAGTGTTCTATCCCTGACTCCAAACCCAAGCCCTGTGTATGAGGTTGGGTTCATCCTTTGAATATAATCTCTTTATGCTTCAGCTGCCTACTCTGTAATCTGTGGATGAAAGTAATAGATACCTTATGGATACTGTGATAAAGTGATTTATATTCTAAACTACTACATATAGAAATTGTACTTAATGCTGTAGCCAATACTTTAACAGGGTTCCTGGAGATAAGCCATCTAAGTCCCTTTAGAGTTGACAGGGCTCCTTCTCTGCTCATAGCCAGTAAACATCAGAGCTCATTTCTTTCTGTTTATTTTGAGTGGAAGAGGCCAGAGATACTCTTTAGCTATGAATGCCTCACTTATAGGAGACATCCTTAGTCTTCCCCAGAGAGACTAATTAATAGAAACATGGTGGCAGTCATGTGTCCTGGTGCTATGAAGGCTTTTCTTTTGCTAGGAGTCCTAGATGGCTAAACTCATACATCTCCTAGAGATTGTTCTGCTTAGAGCATAAGGGTTTTGGCAAGAGCCTAGACCTGGGCTGAGTCTCTCTGGGCCTCTCTGAGTCTTCTTGGTCCTGTCGGTCTCCACCTTCTCTTCTTTCTGATGGCTCTTCCGCATTGCAAGCTGGGCTTTCTCCAGAACAACAGGGCTGGACTTAAAGCTGCAGTTCTTGAAGAAGGCCAAATGGAGGGCAGAGTGGGCTTGATCCCAGCCTTGTGAAAATGGAACCATACCCATGACTCCTAGAATGAGCAGAAGTTGGAACTTCTCTCAGAAGCTATTTTTGAATCTTCGTAGACTCAGCCTTTACCACTTGTTACAGTATCAGATTCCCATCATCACTTGCCCTCTCCCTGCTCTTTGATTATGTGCATAAAGTGTTTCTCCAAAGGAAGCTAAGCAGGCCTGCAGTTTATCTTGAGGTAACTTATCATCTGTAAAAATCTGGGAATGACCCAAAAGATTTCACAGGCACTTTTGTCTAAGTCAGACACTTGTCTTTAATACACACCTGGACACTGATGAATTTCCAGTGAATTTGTTTAAGAAGAAACAAAACAGATTTCTGTCACATATCTTCTCAGATAACCTTTAAGCCCCCTTTCTACCTGCTCTTGTCTTTTAAAAATATGTAATGGCTCAAAGTATCTAAGTGGTCCAGTGCACTGCTTCTCGATCTATGGGTTGAAACTTCTTTAGGGGATCAAATGACCCCTTCACAGGGGTCTGCATATTGGACATTTATATAATGATGCATAACAGTAGCAAAATTATAGTTATGAAGTTATGACAAAATAATTCCATAGTTGGGCATCATGAGGAACTGTATTAAAGGGCCTTGGCATTAAGAAGGTTGCAAGCCACTAGTCTAGTGTGACTTATTTTTCTGCATGAAGTGGCTATGGTGTTCTAGGAAATGTTATAGAAAGTGGCTGACACATAGTACGTTCGACCTAGGAGCCATTTGAAGCAGTAGGCACTCCTGAGTAGTTATAACATTCATATAATGTTATGGATGTTGAACATAAAGTAAGTCAACTTGTAGGTGTCACTGTGGATGATGGTCACAAATATAAAGTAGAGCAAGAAATAAAGTCCTAGAGATTGATGCCATTATGCTGAAGATTAAGATGTTTGCTTGAAACAGCGTTACAGATATTCAGAATATATGCTGTACCATGTAGGAAGCTGGGGAGCTGTGTCAGGATGACAAGCCATGATGGTTGCTGGTTGCTTCTAATAAGAGAAGCATGTGAATGTCCTTGAGACTTTGGAGCTTTCAGTTTCTTGACAATATTCTGCTCCACAGCCTGTGTCCTAGATATACCAGCATATTTTTTTATATTATTCTACCCATGTTTTTGTAACTGTAGACTGCTTTTTTTTTAATAAAAAGGAAATCATTTCTCATGTACATTACTGATCCACCAGAAATTAATTTTAGAACTTTTGGAGCCTTATGAATATACTTGTGTACCTATTTTATAGGTAAAATTAGCCACAGAATGGAGCTAAATGAGGCCAAGTGTTGGCTTGATAGAAATGACCTCATGGGAAGAGGAAATGGTTTCAAAAGGAATAAGCAACTGAGCTGTAGCATTTCAGAGTCCCGGTGTATTCTTTCAGTCATGAATTTTAAGGTGCTGGGGACATGACTCAGCTGATAAAGAGCCTGCTGTGCAAGCACGAGGACAAGATTTCAATTCCCAGGGCCCATAAAAGCTAAGTGCAGTGTCCCATAATCCCAGCTTTGACAAGACAAAGGTAGGTAGGCCCACGGGGCTCAAGGCCAGCCAGTTTATCCAATTGAGGAGTTCAGATTCAGTGAGAGACATTGTCTCATAAAATAAGGTGTAAGTGACTAAGAAAGGTTGACACCAACATTTCCCTTCCAAGCACTCATCTACCAACACACCTGCAATGCATCCACAAACATATGTTCACAGACATACACATGCACATGCAGGGAATTCAAATGCACAGTAATTTATTTTTAGTTACTTTAGTAAAGTGTTTAGGATGCTAAACTGGAAAATAGCAGTTATCTCTTCATTTGTGTATGAATAGATTTCATAACTGATGCCATGATCCACATTAGGGCACTCACTCACCTAACAAGGTTGTCACAACTTGTTGACTTTTTATCAATATTCTTTTGTATACAGGTGAGTGTGTATCTTTTCTTCACCTATTATCTATCCATTAGAAAACAATAGGATTAGATTCTCACCGATTATAATCAAAACATGTACAGATATTGAAAGATTTGATTCTGAGAGTAAAGTCACATTAGTTGCATAAAAATCTGATGTATTTTACACTATTTCTAGATATTTTCATTTATAAAGGTATGTTTAATTTCAAATATTTTAAATTTGAAAGTTTGGCTCTGTTTTGAAAACATTACCTTGCATAACTTGTCAGGTGATACTAATGGAATGTACTGATTTTGTTGTTGTGTCTTTGTCCAGGATAGATTTTCTAATAAAACTTGATGGAAAAACAAAATCTCACAGTGGTTACTGAATTCATCTTGATGGGTATCAGTGAGCGCCCTGAACTACAGGCCCCATTGTTTGGACTATTCCTGGTCATCTACATGAGCTCAATGGTGGGAAACTTGGGCATGATCATCCTCACTACAGTGGACTCCAGGCTACAAACACCCATGTACTTTTTTATCAGACACCTGGCTATCACAGATCTCGGTTATTCTACTGCTGTGGGACCCAAGATGTTGATAAATTTTCTTGTAGATATAAACATAATCTCCTATAATTTTTGTGCTACACAGCTAGCTTTCTTTCTTGTGTTTATAATTAGTGAACTTTTTATTCTGTCTGCAATGTCCTATGATCGCTATGTGGCCATATGTAAGCCTCTGCTCTACACTGTCATCATGTCACAAAGGGTGTGTAATGTACTGGTGGCAATCCCCTACTGCTATTGCACATTTGTTTCCCTTCTAGTCACCATAAAGATTTTCACTTTGTCTTTTTGTGGCTACAATGTCATCAGTCATTTCTACTGTGACAGTCTCCCCTTGATATCTTTGATCTGCTCAAACACTCATGAAATTGAAATGATTATTCTGGTCTTGGCAGCTTTTAATTTGATTTCCTCTCTCCTAGTTGTTCTTGTGTCCTACCTGTTCATCCTCATAGCCATTCTCAGGATGAACTCTGCTGAGGGAAGACGCAAGGCTTTCTCCACCTGTGGGTCTCATCTGACAGTGGTCACTGTCTTCTATGGGACTTTGATATTCATGTATGTGCAGCCCCAATCCAGTCACTCCTTTGACACTGACAAAGTGGCTTCCATCTTTTACACCCTGATCATCCCCATGTTGAATCCCTTGATCTACAGCTTGAGGAACAAAGATGTAAAATATGCCCTACAGAGGACATTGAGAAAGATAGATAGCATATTTTCTTAAATACTACATACTTGAGTTCTACCAACCACAATTGGACAAACATTTGTTGTCTTTTGTCAGAATGTTTACCATGCACAAACGAACATATTATATATTTAAAAATTGCCTTCCTTTGTACTAACACATATTATAATGTTATAAATACATCAGTAAAACGTATTTGCCTTTTTAAAAATTATATATATATATATATATATATATATATATATATATATATATATATACATATCTCAGCACAAGTGAAGAAAAAGAGGACAACTTGCAAAATTCATTTCTCTACTTCTACCATATGAACCCTCAGGGTAGAACTCCACAACAAGGCTTTTAAACTGCTGAGCCATCTCCTTGGCTCCCCTTAACAAGAGGGATGAACTGTAGCATAATAATAGAGAAATGTATCTCGTGTAATAGCTCTATACATTATAACATGAAGAACATTGTGTGTGTATGCTATATGCATGTGAAAAACAGTTGTGGGTGCTTATGAGAAATTGATTTGCTCTTTGTGACATTCCTTTAGCAAGGGATTTCTATCATCTATGTGTATTTATTTATATATTTCTTCTTTCCAGTCAGTATAATACTTCTGTTTATACTTCTTATGTTCCTGTGTAGATTGTTTTAAAAACACATTCTGGTATGTTGTCAGCAGACTCATGGTCACACAATGACTAGAAAAACTATAGTATATACATAGGCTCAAATGTCCCTATGCTATCTGGAAATCTTAAGGTTTTTGTTTTGTTTAGTTTTGGTTTGATTCTTTTGTTTTGTTTTGTTTTGTTTTTGGAAGCATAATTGCTTTCATATATAGCTCAAGAGATTCTACTAACATAACACAACTGACTTTTGGTAACATATTGCTTCAATTTAGTATCTAAATTTGTCTAATGCAGTGTACTTGTGCATATTAGTGAATAAACTCATTATAATATACTTCTTGAGTTCTGCCATAGGAACTTCCAGAATTATGCTTTTTTTCTTGTGTAGTGACTTGTTTTTATGTCCTTAGTGCCTACTTTTTTTCTAGTGGGTAATCACTATCTTTGCTATCAAAGGGAAAATAACACCTCATTTTTGGGATGGTCTATTTTCTTTTTTTTTTTTGGTTTTTTTTTTTTTTTTTTTGGTTTTTCGAGACAGGGTTTCTCTGTGTAGCTTTGCGCCTTTCCTGGTACTCGCTTTGGAGACCAGGCTGGCCTCGATCTCACAGAGATCCGCCTGCCTCTGCCTCCCGAGTGTTGGGATTAAAGGCGTGCGCCACCACCGCCCGGCTATTTTCTTACACAAACTAGCAGAATATAGCTACTCTGTGTTGAATGTGTAGAGAGGGAACACATTTTGTCTACTTTCCTAATGTTTTCTCTGTATACCAATGTACAGAGGACTTTTTCTGAGTATATCATTTAGTAACCAAATGTGAGCAAACACAGGCAATACTATCGGTTGCTCCATGCTTCTCTTCTAGTGAGTTTGCAGTGTCAGATGCATTGATGGTCATGCTTTCTGTGTCTTTGGAACATTGGATATTCAGCAACCTATCTAAGCTCTGTCCTGTCTTCCAATGTTCATCATTATTTAACATCCTTACTCTTTAATTTACACTATAAAGAGAATAGTGTTTATTATTATCTTGCAATAAAATCATCAGAATATCAAATCAAATACTAATACATATACTTTATTATATTACTAAAGTAATACATATATTGCCTTGTGCAAAATATTACTAAATCATCATGCAATTATTCTATTTAGTATCAATTATTTTTATTTAGAATTGCATAACACATTTTCATGTAAAAAAGGAAATATTTTAATTTCACAGAAAATATATATATGGGGTGTGTGTGTGTGTGTGTGTGTGTGTGTGTGTGTGTGTGTTCACAAGTGCATTTCTGTATGTGATATATATGTTTGGTGCACGTATTGCACAGTATGGGTATGCTCATAGGCACGCCTATGCAGAGGCCAGAGCAGACTCTGGTTTTCTTCCTCTCCATATGCACACTTACTGCATATGGAGTCACTTACTGCATATGGGGCAGGGTCACTCGGTGACAGAAAGCTTCTCACTTCATCATAGCTGACTGGCCAGTGTTCTCTTTGGGTCTGCTTATAAACATCTAGAAATTCAAGGATTATAAACATGATTTACCATGCCTAGATTCTTATGTGTATCTCGAGCTGTGAACTAAGGTCTTCATGATTGTAGAGCATAGAGTACCCACTGAACCATCTCCCCAGACCACAAAAAATATATGGTTGGAAAAATGTAGAAATATTAAATTTTACTCTTAATGGATATGATATATTAAGATCTATCTACCTTCCTTCCTTCCTTCGATCCTTCCTTTCTTTCTGTATGTCTTTTTTTCTTTCTTTTTGAAAAATGTCAAAGCTCACCTTTATCTGTAATCTTCTAGCCTTAGACAATGAAATGATGTCTCTACACACAGCCTGGAACTGTTTAAACAAATAGCATTTAAAAATGTTTTATATTTCCATAGGTCATATTTAGCCAATAACTTGCATAACTATGGAAAAAAATTGAATATCTCTATTTGAAAAATATGCTGTTAATGTGCATACTTAAATGTGGAACCTCTAAAATGAATGTTGATTTCACTTTTGTTTTTTCAAAGATGATTAACATGAAAAGCGCAAGAAGTTTAAAATTTTTTACTAATGATATTTTACTAATAAATTTACTAAATGATGATGTTGCATTTTATTGTGCTAACATCAAATTGGTATTCTTACTATTTCAAATACACACTAGAGTACTATGGACAAATGCTTCTTGTAAGTTTGTGGCAATACAATTTTTTGTATAACTGAGATTCCATGTTTATGTTAATGAATAATAGTTTCTCACACCTCCCTTCCTTTAAACCCAATATTTGATTCTATAAGGTTGCATTATTCTAGACTCTTCATGTAGATGGCAGCCAGGAATATTTGTCCTGTAACTGATATATTTTGTTCAGGGTCCTATCCATAAGATTATCTTTGTTGTTACAAGTGGCAGGACATCATGCTTTAAGTTGAGTAACAGTCTATTGGAAACTGCCAATACTTCTGGATAAAACTCAGAAACAAGTTTTTTTTTTTTTTGGTTTTTCGAGACAGGGTTTCTTTGTGTAGCTTTGTGCCTCTCCTGGAACTCACTTGGTAGCCCAGGCTGGCCTTAAACTCACAGAGATCCACCTGGCTCTGCCTCCCGAGTGCTGGGATTAAAGGCGTGAGCCACCACCGCCCGGCAGAAACAAGTTTTAAGAAAGAGGTAAAGAGAGAAATAAGTTGGTTAATAATTGTCCTTGACAATTATTAGACCATATGAAATACTCTAGGGTAATCCACAAAGTACTCAGCAATTCCTTAGGGAGAGTCTCTAAAGATTAAATAAAAAGTATAAATTATTCTAAAAATTCCATGTTAAGGAACAAATTAAAGAATTAGGAGTGGAGTCTTATTCCAGGTAACAAACACAGAAAATTTCCTGAGGGTCTGTGTGTAGACAGTGCCAGTGGCAATGGCCATCTGCTGCCGTGGCCTTCTCGGTAGTAGGAGTGCCCATCTCTGATCCAGTCTGTGATTCTTGCTTTTCCATGATATGGAGCCACGGCCAGAGCCATCTGCTCTATTCTTTATTTTTATTTGTTTATTTTTTTGTATCTTCTAGTAAGTTAACAGCATGGGAAAATGACACTTGTTATTTCAGTTTGGAAAATATTTGTGTCTGAATATAATTTTACATACAAAAATGGTAGAAATGAGGAAGAGGAACCATTGATTAAAAAGCGTAGACTGGATGGTGTGATGTTTGCTTGTTTTGTTCGTGTTTTGAGAGACAAATTAGAAAAAAAGAAATCTTTCACTCTCCTTCCAGACAGTTAGGTTTTTAGTGGCTGTAGATGTATTTGTCTCTCAATCATCTATAAATAAAACTTTGTGTGAGACTCATTGCTACTCTCCTTGAAATACTAACATGCTATTAGCATCAAAGGATTTTTAAATATCCAGTTCTGTGGTAATGGCACCATGCCAATTGTTTCATGGTGGGAACTGAAAAAATTTTTTCTTGATCATGGTGGCATAACACAAAGTACTCAATATGAACAACAAAATATGAAAGAGCTATGTATTTCTTTTCATTGAACTTCATTACAGCTAAGATGATAGACCATCATCCCCTTTTACTTAGAAGACCGTACATGCTTATTAGTTGCAGCTAAGAGTGTTGTATTTCACGATTATAAACCAAACAGCACCAAGAACCAGAAGCAAGACTTAAACGCTATTTAATTCTGCATTTGTTTAAGGTACTTCCCCAGTGTAATGATCTGATATGCTTTCATGTATAAGGAAGAGGCAAAAAGGGAGAGCAGCATATAAGTTAGTAACATTCATGCAGACGGTATTCTATGAAACGCGAGATTATATACAATCAGTTCTGTATATAATGGTGTAAAATTGTGTGGTTGTATTTGCAGGGATGGCTGTCTTTCTAATTTCTGCTGTGAAGTATGTAATTAAAAAAAAACCCTTAAGAATATTGATGGCTGTAATTTTTGACATGAAATAATAGCTGTTTTACTTTGATTTGTTTTCCTGACATGATATACTTAGTAACTTCTATACTATAGCTTTATTCAGATTTTCAGAATAACATGCTACAAACATATAAATAATTTCTCATGCTATATTACACAGAGTATTCCAAAAATTCACTTAAACATTCATATATATATATATATATGTGTGTGTGTGTGTGTGTGTGTGTGTGTGTGTGTGTGTTATATTAATATGAATATATGGTTTATGTCACATTTTATACATACATATATAAACACATTAAATATATGCAATGCAGAATTATAAGATCAATTACTACAGGTCAAATTTTTTCTGTTTTTAAAATACCATTCTTGAGAATAAAAGGGAATTTTATTCGCCTTAATTGCGTAAACACCAAAACCGGTGGTCTTTCTTTTTACTAAGGTTGTACATTACACCCCCAGGATTCTGTATAAGAAAATTCATATGCTTTGCTGCAAACAATTACACACATTTCAATGAAAATGAGAATGTACGTGGACATGAATATTATTTAGGATAATTCATATAAAGATAACTCATGCTAACATGGTGATGACTGAATTCATCCTGATTGTCACCACTAACCACTTGTTCTCCATTCACTCACCATTAAAATCCTGACAAAGAATGGAAACATACACACATGTGCACACATAAAACTTTTTCAATTAAATTACTCTTACCATTTAAAAATAAAAATACATACATAAATACGTAATTGTTGATAATGACTTCTATGTACTATGGAAAATTTGAGTAATTTTATGATACATTTTCCTTCCCAATAACACAGAAAAATTTCTTTCATATGAGATTACATATTTTTAGATAAGTTGCATACCCAAAGTAAACTCTGTGTAAGCAAAATGAATATGGATTCAAGATCATATCTATATGATACATAGCTGGGTTATTTTTTCACATAAAAACAATGTAATGTGTCATATGATCTGGAATTTTAAAAGTATCATTCTAATATCTGTCAGTTTTAAAAAGACTTTTGGGATGACTAACTGTACTTATAAGGACTATATATAATTATTATTTTCTTTATTAATATAACATTTTTAATGACCAGCTTTCTTATAGCCCCAGGCTGGCCTCAAATTTACTATGGAGGAAAGTATGATTTTTAACTCCTTGTCTTCATTCTTCCAGCTCCCAAGTGCTGTGATTGTAACACATACATCATCATCCTTGACCATGGAAAAACTAGGTCTGATGATGACATTTTAAATGCACATATGTTAAATCCTGATCATACTCTGCTCCACATTACCCTATTTTGTCTCTCTCCACTACTTGCTATTCCTCTGTCTCTTCTAAAATAATGACAATGTTTTAATTTATGGAATACTATGTACTTTATAAATTCATCCATAGAAATTCTAATTCAAGTAAGGGTTTAATATTCCACATTATTAAATATGTTATTAATATCACTAAACAATTGTATTTATATAAAACAATAGCTAGAAAATGTGAAATCTAAAATAACAATTTACAAATCCAACATTATTTTTATTGTTTTTACATTTTTAATCAAATTATAATAATATTTTCCCCACTTTTATTTTCTAGTCACTCCCATGACCTCTTCCTATAACACCTCCCATGATCCCTTGCTCTCAAATAGATAACCTTGTTTTCTGTTATTAATATTTTTACACAGACACACATATACACACACTCCCAAATACATAAATAAAACCGGTTGAGTCTTTTTTGCTGTTGTTTGTGTGTGTGTAGCTTCATAGATAACTACATTAGTTTGGACAACCAACGCAGGGACTCATTTCCCTCAGTGGTCATTAGTTGCCTGTAATTTTGTGTAGAGATAGGACACTGTAATATTTTCCCTTTTAAATTGGCATGAAGCCCATTTTTATACACAAAATTTTAATGTTCAAATATTATTTTATGTAAACTTATTTACATTGTCATAAATTTTTGTCTATTTTATTTATCTATCCCATCTAGACATCATAGACCATATATCTATTATATGTACCTATGTCAATTTTTCAAACACATAATTATTGGTAATTCAGATTGAATTTTTTGAATGCAGTATGATATTCACTATCTTATATACCCTTTAGGTATTACATGTCAGTGGAAGCCTTCTTCCTAATAGGTCATATAAATATCAATATAAATATAGTACTATTATCTGTTAAAATGATCTGTGTTGTTGAGAAGCACTCATCTATATGTTCATAAATATATAGTTGTGGCTGTCTTCTTAACAAAATTGTAAAGTGTATATCTTCAAAACTGCACACACACACACACACACACACACACACACACACACACACACACATATATATACAGATACACAGACACAGAATTATCATATTTTAACGGCGTTGCATAATGAATGTTTTGCATGCTAAGTATTTTTTAATTATTTACTATAATATTTTCTTTAACAAATATGTTTTTTTGATACAGGAGAATGAAGGAACACAATCTCACAGTAATGACTGAATTCATCTTAATGGGCATCACTGACAGTTCTGAGTTGCAGGCCCCATTATTTGGGCTGTTCCTTGTCATATACATGACCACAATGGTTGGCAATTTGGGAATCATTATTCTTACCACAGTGGACTACCATCTGCAAACACCTATGTACTTCTTTCTCAGACACCTGGCTATTACAGATCTTGGATATTCTACTGCTGTGGGACCCAAAATGTTGGAAAATTTTGTTGTAGATCAAAACACAATATCATTTAAACTTTGTGCCACACAACTAGCTTTCTTTCTTGTATTCATTGGTAGTGAGCTATTTATTCTATCAGCAATGTCCTATGACCGCTATGTGGCCATCTGTAAGCCTCTGCTTTATACTGTCCTCATGTCACAAAGGGTATGTTGGGTTCTTATGGCAATGCCCTATCTCTATTGCACATTTGTGTCTCTTCTCATCACAGTCAATATTTTCACTTCATCCTTCTGTGGCTACAATGTCATTAATCATTTCTACTGTGACTGCATCCCCTTGCTGTCTCTACTCTGTTCACATGCAGAGGAAATAGCATTTATTGTTATGATCTTTGCAGCTTTTGATTTAATCATCTCTCTCCTTGTCATCCTAGTGTCCTACATGCTTATCCTCACAGCAGTTCTAAGGATGAACTCAGCAGAGGGCAGACGCAAGGCTTTCTCCACCTGTGGGTCCCATCTAACAGTGGTGACAGTGTTCTATGGTACTTTGATATTTATGTATGTGAAGCCTCAGTCTAGTAATTCCACTGACATTGATAAGGTGTCTTCAATCTTTTACACCCTGGTTATCCCCATGTTGAATCCCTTGATCTATAGTTTGAGGAATAAGGATGTAATCTCTGCCCTCCATAGGACTTGGAGAAATATTTGCAATATCTTTTCTTAGAGGTTTCATGCAACATTAATCCTATGTATCTGGGACAAATGTGAACCATTTCTAAGAGGGTACAGAAAACACATAATGCTCAATCTATACTTAAATATTGGGATTGTCGGTTAAGATTTAAATTTATATGTGCCATAGATATTTCACTAAATATTCATGAAAAGATTTTGTATTCATTGAGAAGTGTTGTTTTATAGTATAATAATTAAGTATCTACAGTACAAAATATGTTTAGGGTCTCAATATCATAGAAGTAGAAACCACAGTTGTATAATGTGTTTCACTGAGGAACAACTATAGGTATAATAGAGGGATAATATATTATATGTTATTTGTAAATGATATTTCCCATCTTTACAGTTTTGGCTTTATCTACATTTGTGTTTTGAATAACTGTTTTGTATAATGGTCACTCTTTTTGAACTCTCAAAATACAAAAATTATTACTTAACACACAGTTTATTGGTCATTATATGTTTGTACACATTTGCCAATATCACACTTTTAAAACTAACATTAGGTTTTTGTGGTCCACTAAAGGAAGAATTTGAGTCGTTTTTTTTTTCATTTTTTTATACAATAGTGATTCAGAAAAATTAAGAAATCTTGAATGAAAATATAAATTATTTAAGGATTATGAGAATGTTTGTTGAAACACATTTTGTGATCTTAGCTTTATAACATACCTAATGGGGGCACATTTGTTTTTCATTTAAACAGTCATTAAGATCATTGAAAAATTATTTTTTTAAAGTTTTTATTATATTTGACAATATAATTTAATTCTACATATCAACCATGGATTCCCTTGCTCTCCGCCTCCCGTCCCCCTCCCTTTTCCACCAGCCCACACCCCATTCCCATCTCCTCCAGGGCAAAGACTCCCCCGAGGATTGAGATCAACCTGGTAGACTCAGTCCAGACAGGTCCAGTCCCGTCCTCCCAGGCTGAGCCAAGTGACCCTGCATAAGCCCCAGGTTTCAAACAGCCAACTCATCACTGAGCACAGGACCTGGTCCCACTGCCTGGATGCCTCCCAGACAGATCAAGCCAATCAACTGTCTTACCCATTTCAAGGGCCTGATCCAGTTGGGGGCCCCTCAGCCATTGGTTCATAGTTCATGTGTTTCCATTCATTTGGCTATTTGTCCCTGTGCTTTATCCAACCTTGTTCTCAACAATTCTCGATCATATAAACCCTCCTCTTTCTCACCAATTGTACTCCCTGAGCTCCACCAGGGGCCTAGCCATAGATCTCTGCATCCAGTTCCCTCAGTCATTGGATGCTGTTTCTAGCGCAACAATTAGGGTATTTGGCCATCCTATCACCATAGTAGGTCAGTTTGGGCTGTCTCTCGACCATTGCCAGTAGTCTATTGTGGGGGTATCTTTGTGGATTTCTGTGGACCTCTCTAGCACTTTGCTTCTTCCTATTCTCATGTGGTCTTCATTTACCATGATCTCCTATTCCTTGTTATCCCTCTCTGTTGTTGATCCAGCTGGGATCTCCCGCTCCCCCAAGCTCTCTTTCCCTCGACCCTCACCCTTCATTACCCCAACACGCATCCAGGCTGTTCATGTAGATCTCATCCATTTCTCTGTCATTGGGCAATCCCCATGTCTTTCTTGGGGTCCTGTTTTCCTTGGGGTAGCATCCCTGGTGTTGTGAGTAGCAGTCCAGTCATCCTTGTTCGACATCTAGTATCCTCCTATGAGTGAGAACATACCATGTTTGTCTTTCTGAGGCTGGGTTACCTCACTCAGGATGATTTTTTCTAGATCCATCCATTTGCCTGCAAACCTCAGGATGCCATTGTTTTTCTCTGCTGAGTAGTATTCGATTGTGTATATGTACCACATTTTGTTTATCCATTCTTCAGTTGAAGGGCATCTAGGTTGTGTCCAGGTTCTGGCTATTACAAACAATACTGATATGAACATAGCTGAGCAAGTGCTCTTGTGGTATGATTGAGTATTCCTTGGGTATATGCCCAAGAGTGGTATAGCTGGATCTTGGGGGATAATAATTCCCAATTTTCTAAGAAAGCAACATATTGATTTCCAAAGTGGTTGTGCAAGCTTGCATTCCCACCAGCAGTGGAAGAGAGTTCCCCTAGCTCCACATCCTCTCCAGCATAAGGTATCTTCAGTGTTTTTGATCTTAACAATTCTGACAGGTGTAAGGTGGTATCTCAGAGTTGTTTTGATTTGCATTTCCCTGATAATTGGGGATGTTGAGCAATTCCTTAAATGTCTTTCAGCCATTTGAGTTTCCTCTGTTGAGAATTCTCTGTTTAGTTCAATAGCACATTTCTTAATTGGAATGTTGGGCATTTTGATGTCTAATTTCTTGAGTTCCTTATATATTCTGGATATCAGTCCTCTGTCAGATGTGGGGTTGGTGAAGACCTTTTCCCATTCTGTAGGCTGTCGCTTTGTCTTGTTGACCGTATCCTTTGCTCTACAAAAGCTTCTCAGTTTCAAGAGGTCCCTTTGATTGATTGTTTCTCTCAGTGTCTGAGCTACTGGTGTTATATTTAAGAAGTGAACTACTATGCCAATGCGTTCAAGACTACTTCCTACTTTCTCTTCTAGCAGGTTCAGAGTAGCTGGATTTATGTTGAGGTCTTTGATCCACTTGGACATAAGTTTTGTGCACAGGGATAGATATGGATCTATTTGTAGCCTTCTACACATTGATATCCAATTATGCCAGCACCATTTGTTGAAGATGGTTTCTTTTTTCCATTGTACACTTTTGGCTTCTTTGTCAAAAATTATGTGTTCATAGGTGTGCGGATTAATGTCAGAGTCTTCAATTTGGTATCATTTGTCCACATGTCAGTTTTTATGATAGTACCAAGCTGTTTTTATTACTGTAGCTCTATAGTAGCGCTTGAAGTCAGGGACGTGATGCCTCCAGAGGTTGTATTATTGTACAGGATTCTTTTGGATATCCTGGGCTTTTTGTTTTTCCATATGAAGTTGAGTATTATTCTTTCTAGTTCTGTGAAGAATTGTGTTGGTATTTTGATGGGAATTGCATTGAATTTGTAGATTGCTTTTGGTAAGATTGCCATTTTTACTATGTTAGTCCTGCCTATCCATGAGCATGGGAGATCTTTCCATTTTCTGACATCTTCAATTTCTTTTTTCAGAGACTTAAAGTTCTTGTCATATAGGTCCTTCACTTGCTTGGTTAGTGTTACCCCAAGGTATTTTATATCATTTGTGGCTATTGTAAAGGGTGATGAATCTCTGATTTCCTTCTCAGCCTGTTTGTCAATTGTATGTAGGAGGGCTACTGATTTTTTTTGAGTTGATCTTGTATCCTGCTATGTTGCTGAAGGTGTTTATAAGTTGCATCAGTTCCTTGGTGGAATCTTTGGGGTCACTCAAGTATACTATCATGTCATCTGCAAATAGGGAAAGCTTGACTTCTTCCTTTCCAATTTGTATCCCCTTAATCTCCTTATGTTGTCTTATTGCTCTGGCTAGAACTTCAAGTACTATATTGAATAAGGATGGGGAGAGCAGACAGCCTTGCCTCGTTCCTGATTCTAGTGGAATTGCTTTGAGTTTCTCTCCATTGAATTTGATGTTGGCTGTTGGCTTGCTGTAAATTGCCTTTATTATGTTTAGGTATGTTCCCTGTATTCCTGTTCGCTCCAAGACCTTTATCATGAAGGGGTGTTGGATTTTGTCAAATGCCTTTTCTGCATCTAGTGAGATAATCATGTGGTTTTATTCTTTGAGTTTGTTTATATGGTGTATTACATTGACAGACTTTCGTATGTTGAACCACCCTTGCATCCCTGGAATGAATCCTACTTGATCATGGTGGATAATTGTTTTGATGTGTTCTTGGAGTCTGTTTGCCAGTTTTTATTGAGTATTTTTGCATCAATATTCATGAGGGAGATCGGTCTGTAGTTCTCTTTCTTTGTTGTATCCTTGTTTGGTTTAATAATCAGGGTAATTGTAGCCTAATGGAAGGAGTTTGGTAATGTTCCTTCTGTTTCTATTGTGTGGAACAATTTAGAGAGTATTGGTATTAACTCTTCTTTGAAGATCTGGTAGAATTCTGTAATGAAACCATCTGGTCCTGGGCTTTTCTTGGTTGAGAGACTTTTAATGACTGTTTCTATTTCCTTAGGGGTTATTGGACTATTTGGTTTATCTTGTCTTGATTTAAATTAGGTATGTGGTACCTATCCAGAAAATTATCCATTTCTTTTAGATGTTCCAGTTTTGTGGCGTTGAGGTTTTTGAAGTACGACCTGATGATTCTCTGGATTTCCTCAATTTCTGTTGTTATGTCCCCCTTTTCATTTCTGATTTTGTTAATTTGGATGCTCTCTTTCTGTCTTTTGGTTAGTTTGGATAATGGCTTGTCTATCTTGTTGATTTTCGCAAGGAACCAACTCTTTGTTGCATTAATTTTTGTATTGGTCACTTTGTTTCTATTTTATTGATTTCAGCTCTCACTTTGATAATTTCCTGGTGTCTATTCTTCCTGGGAGACTTTGCTTCTTCTTATTCTAGAGCTTTCAGGTGTGCTGTTAAGTCACTAGTGTGAGATTTCTCCAACTTATTTATGTGGGCATTTAGTGCTATGAATTTCCCTCTTAGCACTGCTTTCATCGTGTCCCATAAGTTTGGGTATGTGGGGTCTTCATTTTCATTGATCTCCAGGAAGTCTTTAATTTCTTTCTTTATTTCCTCCTTAACCCATTGGTGATTCAGTTGAACATTATTCAGTTTCCACAAGATTGTAGGTTTTCTGTAGTTTTTGTTGTTGTTGAAATCTAACTTTAAACCATGGTGCTCTAATAGAACACAGGAGGCTTTACCAATGGTTTGTATCTGTTGAGATTTGCTTTGTGGCCAAGTATGTGGTCAATTTTAGAGAAGGTTCCATGGGGTGCTGAGAAGAAGGTATATTCTTCTTTTGTTAGGATGGAATGTTCTGTAGATATTGATTAAGTCCATTTGAGTCA